TTGGAAATGTTTTAGTTATACGAGTAATTCAAATTAAAGTAACATTAGCGTGAGTTCTGTTGTTGCAGATTGGATGACAAATAACTTATACTACGATTGTAAGATATTAATACGAATTTTGTGTAAATAGTATAAATAATTTGTATTTGAGTGTTTAATGCATTTATATTACTCTATGTTATATTTATGTGGGAGACAACAAGGGGTCCAAGACGTTTGTCTTACTTCACATTTATTTTAAAATTAAACAAAAATTAATTAAAAAGGTAGCTATTTTAACAGATAAGTTTGACGATGATATGCAGAAGGTAACGCCTGCTCGCGCACCTCTCTCGTTCTCTCTTCTCCTCTCTTAAAAGTTTTGGTTCTACTTTCACTAGTTCAAAAGTTTCCCCAGTTTCAGTTCTCATTAGCTGCGCCTGCGCGCGAAGACTGCGTTGTTATCTTGAGAACTATTGGATCCTACATCCGGCTATCCTGACAGTACGCTGTCCGCAGCAGTACTTCCTCCTTTTTCATCGAGACCAGAAGAGAATCTGAAATATACGAAAAAACGGAACAGACAAGGACTATACGACAAATATACAAAGATTTAACATATCATAATTCTTCTGAACTAGACAGTTTCTCCATCATGTGAAGGCACCTCTTCGACATCCGGAAGGTTCAATAGGAAAACATTGTGTTTCACAGGCATAAGAACGTCTTTTTTAATGAGTTGATCTTTGGTTGAACGCATCGCTATTTTCCTCTGTAGAGTTCTGGACGTCTGTTCAAAACGATTTCTCTTTTTCCTCCGTTTCCACTGCCAGGGCTGGAAGATTTTCCGGAGCAACGCAAACCGTCGATGTTTACTCTCCATAGGTGAAGGGGCGTTGAAGTTCACGGAACTCGTTTTCATGGCACCATTTACTTTCTTACACAATACTATATCAGAACATTTTTCTCTTATAATACTCAATTTTAACTTAGTACTCTTAATTTTATTACATTTATAATCCTTAATTAGAGAACTCAAATCATTTCTAGTATTAAAGTTTTTAACATGTGGCAAATCATAACTAGAGTTTTCTATCACATTTGAAAAAGAAACATTTGAATTAAAATGAACACCCAAAGAGGATCCACTTTCACTCAATAAAACATCGCTCTTTGCGTGGCCTAGTTTCTTTATTTCAGAATATACACTGGGATGTATAATAATTTCTTCGGTCAAGATCGGTGATATTGCCATTCGAACACTTAGAGCGGGAGAGTGTTGATTAAGAGAAATATTTATGGGTTTAACTTCTACCATTCGCTGTTCGCCAAAACATGAACTTAATGTTATTATTTCTTCGGAAGGTGTTTGCACTCTAATTAGTGAGGAATTTAAAACTGGGATCTGGCAACCTGAATCGATCAAGGCTGTTACGGGCTGATTTTCCACAAAAATGTTTACATATTGAAGATTTGCGAATTCATCGCTATTTTGTTTTTCGCTCTCGACTTTCAAAGTATTCACGTTTATTCTATTATGGATGTGGTCGTTAGATTCTTTAGGTTTAAAACGCTTCTCACAGTCTCTTGCGCAATGAGATGAATCACCGCATATAAAGCAATTTTTATTTTCTCTTTCAAGATATTGGGGATAGTTCTCTTTAATCTTTGGTTTAAAGTTTTGTGATCTATTTTTAAAGGGGTCTTGGGTATATCCATAAGTAATAGGAATTTCTTTATGTGATCCGCTTCTAGATGAAATATAAATATCGCACTCTTTAGCTAAATCAATAGGCCTGAACCAATCTTCTGCTTCTCGAATGCCAATATAAGTTGCAGTTTCCTTATTTAAAGTTTCAAATAATTTATCAGAAATTATAAGATCACATAGTGATTCAAAGGAATTAACTTTTCTTAACGAACAATAATATTGGAAGTTTGCCGTCAATCTTGCAGCAAATTGGATGTATGTCTCGCCTGATGATTTTACAGCATTTTTAAATGAGTTTAAACACTCGCGAGGGGTTAATTGGAATTCTCTGAGTACTATAAATTTTAGTTTTTCATAGTCATTTAATTCCTCTTCTTTAATATACAATAAGACATTATGAGCTCTTTCGCCCAGAAGATTTATTAAAATTTCAGATTTATATTCGTCATTTATTTTCTTGGTTAAAAATGCGCGTTCTAATGATTGGAAGAACAGATTAAAATTTTCAGATCTGGTGGGAACAGGAAGAGATAAAGTTCTAATACTTTTTATCATATTTTCTATGTTAGTTTCGAACTGTTTATCTTCGACTTTAGCTGCAGGATTTAAACTTAATGCTTTATTTTTAGCCATTTGAAGTTCGATTTCTTTTTCTAATTTTGCTAACTGAAGTTTCGCGAGCTCAATTTTCTGTTTTTCTAAAGTTACCTCTCTTTCGTTTCGCGATACTCTCTCATCTATACAGTTTTGAATTAAAGTTTTAACGAAATCTGGATCACTTTCAAATGTACTACTGTTCTCAATTTTAGTCTGTAGTTTAGCTATGGTGTCCGTACTCTTCACAGTACCGTCTAGATCCTCAACAACTCTTACGAGATCCTCTTTAAGAGCGTTTTTATACATTTTAGAAAAATATGGAAAGATCCTACCTTTTTTTTTCTAGCTCCCTTGTTGCTCGCACGTACGATGTATCCAATAATTGAAGAAAAACGTTGTGTGATTCCACTGATTTCACCTCTTCGCAGGTTATAGATGAAATTGTTCGAATTGACACCTCTTCGCAGGTGTTTATGTGAGTGGTTCCAACCTCTACACAGGCGGAATTTTCGTCGATGGGTTCCAACCTCTACACAGGCGGAATATTTGTCGATGGTTCCAACCTCTACACAGGCGGAACGAAGTTTTCGAAAAATGGCGGCGCGTCTCCTCCACGGACGGCTTTTGTTCACGTTCCAAACTTTGATCAAAATCGAAATTTTTTTCAATCCCAGCCTCTACACAGGCGGAGTATTCATGCTGAGTTCAAACCTCTACACAGGTTGAACGAAGTTTCCAAAAAATGGCGGAGCGTCTCCTTCACGGACGCTTTTGTTCATTGTCCAGACTTTGGTTCAAAATCGAAATTTTATCGATCCCGGCCGAGCCCCCATAATTTGTGGGAGATAACAAGGGGTCCAAGACGTTTGTCTTACTTCACATTTTTTTTAAAATTAAACAAAAATTAATTAAAAAGGTAGCTATTTTAACAGATAAGTTTGACGATGATATGCAGAAGGTAACGCCTGCTCGCGCACCTCTCTCGTTCTCTCTTCTCCTCTCTTAAAAGTTTTGGTTCTACTTTCACTAGTTCAAAAGTTTCCCCAGTTTCAGTTCTCCTTAGCTGCGCCTGCGCGCGAAGACTGCGTTGTTATCTTGAGAACTATTGGATCCTACATTTATTTCATGTTAAAATTGTACTATTCACAAGCAGTACCGTCCCTTACGTTATAATGGCGATTCAATGAGAACTTGGTGAAATCTTGGCGGTAGAGCCAAGTTCGTATCATTTTTGGCGACCAATTTGGCGACTTTGACGAGTTCGGAACCCTCTGAAATCTTCTAGAAAGTAGTAGATCACTCCACTAGTGTCACGTTCAATGACACGAGCGGTTATATTTCTAGAAGTTTCTGTCGCGCTTATAAAAGAAGATGTTCGCCGGTACGAAAGGAGTCTTGATTAAGCCAGCGAGTAGTGAGGATTGTTTTGACTAGCTTGGCTGTGCTTGTGAATAATCTTTACTTACGTATGTTTTTAAACACTGTTATTGTGTTTGATTGCTGTTGAAGGTGTGAAGACCTTCTGATATTTACCCTGTGAATATTGCCGATGAATCCTGTATTGGAAGAATTGGATTTTCGGTAATAAATTCGCATCGCTCTTAAAGAACTGATTATTTTTTCTTTGTGATTGTTTTTGCATAAAATCCTCGAACCCTCGGATCTACGTAACAATATTAATTTTAGCAGAATGCATGTGTGAGTTGGACATCTGCCAATCGGTTTTCAAGCAATTAATTATTTTTACTGTGGTTCACTTTTTTGACAAGAGGATTTGTGATTTGTTTCAAACTGCTGTTTAACACACGATATTTTGCATATCACTATTTCAAAACATAAAACACACACCGCATTGTCGCCTTTACTAATGATGCCATATTTCTAGATTCACCAGATTTGAAATTCTCTGTTACCCTTACTATCTTACACTTTTTGTTCTTTTGCTAAACTAGCCATGTTAAATATAACAGTTGAAAATCTTAAATATAACACAAATAAACTTTAAAATACAGTTGTGTCAATGAAATTGGCTACTCTATATATACATATATATATATATATATATATATATATATATATATATATATATATATGCGCAGCTATACTTTGCATCCTAAGCAATTGTAGTCCACGACGTAACTAAGGCAAGACATCAACAAACGAGTGTGCTCCCCGTGACCGATCCTTCGCGTTGGTGCGTAATACTTCCCATTTAACTTTGTTATGTGGAAATAAAATGCAAAAAATTTTGATTGCTGGCTTGGCCAAAATATTGTATCGCGTGCCATGAATGTCACGCGTGCCACTGGTTCGCCATCTCTGCCCTAGAGCTACGATCCTGTGCCAAACACTGTGCAATTCGTCAAGCCGAGTGGCTCACGTGGAAGGCTTGGTGGAGGATGCAACAGTGATCAGAGTGGTTTGAAATTCTCTACGAGTCTAACTTGATTACAACTTCTACTCAATTATTCTGAATACAATTTCTTTCAATAAAAAAGTGATGGGTTTTTTTGTTAACAAAGTTAACAATAAATATTAGGTTTTTTGAAGTTATATTTCTTTTGGGTCGTTATACAAATAGGATGAAGGTGAATTCTTACGATGCGTGCGCACACGGATCCTAAAATTCTTTGTCTAGAAATATACAGAATGTTACAGATCATTGCCGCCTTCGAAATTCTCAAAAAAATATTTTTCTTCGCTTCCCTGAAGAAGGGGACACCTTGCTTTGAACCGGGGACCTCTCGATTAGCAGTCGAAAGCTCTACCACTGAGCTATACCCCCGAGCCAGCGAACCTTAGCTTTCCATAACTACGGATACGAAAATTCTTTGTTTAGTAATATACAGAACGGGACAGATAATTCCCGCCTTCAAATGAAAAAAATATTTCTCTTCACTTCCCTGAAGAAGGGTGCTCCCGGGTTTGAACCGAGGACCTCTCAATCTGCAGTCGATTGCTCTACCACTGAGCTATACCCCCGTGGCAGCAAACCTTTGCTTTCCGTAGGAACGGATACGAAAATGCTTTGTCTACAAATATTCAGAACGGGGCAGAACATTCCCGCCTTCAAATTTCTCAAAAAAAGGGGGGTGAGTCTACATGGGTTCCCCAGAAATAACTCGAATCCTATGCCACCTTAGTCGACCACACCGGCTGGATTCGATTGTTCTTCCTGTGAGCCTCCTAGATATATTTTTTCAGGACCACAGCCCACTTTCTTTACCCATATTTAACATTTTAAAGTTATTTTAAAGATATAATTTTCTAAAAATCCCGCATAGCTCCGAGGAATTTTGAGATTCGTTAATGAAAATCGGACCATAGGTTTTCCTCGTTGAGCTGTTTCATCAGTTATAATTCGTGTGTAGATAATGGGTTTAGGGGGTTATCACTAAAATTAGAATCCCCATGTTTTTCCTATGGGGTTCAATCTTTTGATGATATAACGATATTACAGAGATAGAAGGATGAAATTTTGGGATCACCTACTACTTTGTGTATCGTTGGAATGTACTTGACCATTTACGTCACAGTTGTTCCGCTCCGGGGGAGTTAATTTCGTTTTCCTTTCCCGAGCTAATGCCACCCCATTTGCAACTACAGACTCTGGACCAGTTCTAATGGATTCCTCTTGTGTTTGCTCACAACCAGGCCCAGTTTCAAGTTGCTGGGTACCCTGCTTCTATTTTATTTAATTGTTTTAATTATTTTAAAATGACCATAACTTGGGGGCTCTTCAGGCGGATGTCTTAATTTTCTCAGGAACGATTCTTCCCGCCGAGACGTTTAAATAAATTTAAACACCCTGTGCAAGGGTGTTTAAATTTATTTAAATCGTGATTATCTCAGGTTTGGTTGGTCCAATTGACTGAAGGTTAGCAGGGCCGGCGCTAGGGGTGGGTAAGCCGGGCCCCTGCCCGGGGCGGCAATTTTAGGAGGCGGCAAATTGGCTTTAAAATTAACTAGTTTGTGAAGAAAATAAACCAAGTATCATTTACATCTTATGAAAAATTAATATGTTGAATTTTAGTAATATATATATATATATATATATATATATATATATATATATATATATATATATATATATATATATATATATATATATATATATACAGTAGTGGCAAAAAGTCCTGAACACACTCATTTTTTTGCGTAATTTTTGTGTTTGACTTCATTTTTCGTTATGAAATTATCACACTATGTTAAATATTGTTATTGATTTTAATGTATTTTTTCATGATGATTTCAAATCTGTTTGTAGATTTCATTTAAAGTAAATAGTGTCATTGATATATTGAAAAAACCTTGACAAGAAAGCACAAGGTCACTGTAAGAATTAGTGAGTGTGTTTTCCACCAATGAAATGCTCCTTTATATATTTCAACCAATCAGAGAGCAGTAGCGATAAAGGGTTGAAAGAAAAAGGTGAAACGTGGCTTATTGTATTGAATGCAGTTATGGGCTTGCGGAAAATAGTGTATTGAAAGCAATTTGAAGCGCATTTGTGGAAAAAATATTGGAATTATGGCTAAACTTTCATATCTGCCTGAGAATAAAAGGTACCAAATAATACATTTGAAGGAAGAAGGTGTAGCATATCCTATATTTTAACTCACTAGATCAGTGCTTCTCAAACTGTGGGGCGCGCCCCCCTGGGGGGCACGATAACCCTTCGAGGGGGGCGCGAGCACTTGAAAATATAAAAGGCTTAAAAAATTATTTTTTGGAATGAAGTAAAACAAAATGCTTTCTGACGAAATAAAAAATACACATTTACACTGATATAAATTATATATATCATCTGGTTTTCCACTTTCAAAAGATTCCACTTCAAACGCTCATTAGCTATCTTTGATCCCAAAACCAAATAAAAAAAGATATTTTGTTTTCTTTGCTGTAATCCCGCGATGAGAGATTTTTTACTACGTTTCTTGTAACCTCTAGAATAGTACTTTTGATTATCATCTCTTTGACCTTCAAACTTACTGGTATGCTTAACTCCGTCTACTTTTCTTTTGGGAAAGTTGTAAATAATATTTTTCTGTTGCTTTTCCCCCCACGTAAATGAGTTTTATGATGTATGGATAAGCATATTGAGCACTTTGAAGGATTAATTGGCCAAGATGTATTTTATGAGTAATCTGAAATTGCATTATAAAAAACGTTTTACATAATTATTTTTTTATAACTGACATCGATGTTTTTGTATCGAATACATTTTTTTCATGGGAGCGGTCGCATGAGGCGCTGAATCACTCCAAATTCTGGTAAAACTGTTTATTCGTTAACAAATTCTTGACAGTATCCTCCGATATGACAGTCTTAATGGAAACTAAAATGAATTTGTCACATTTATGCCTCTTTTTTGAGAGTGGCAAACGGTTTTTTACAATCAAGGTACTTGTTTTGATCGAGTTCCCTTCACGACCACTTTTGTTCAGAAATATTTTCTATGAATATGTTATACTTTCCCCTACGATTAACTTTGTGGTTTTAATTGCTGTGTTGTACAACTTATTATGGTTTATAAATGTAAATGAGCAGAATATAAAAAAAATGGGCATCTGTGATCTCTCTATTGAAGGAAGATGAAACTGATCAAGCAATTGAAGAACCTGTTGAAATAATGCATATTAATCGTGATAGCGAGAAAGTAAATATGACAAAAGTGATAGACATGAAACGTTTGAGTTGAATTGTAATTTTCAAATGCTGCCTAAAGAACTCTATCAAGAAAATTAAGATATCAAGAAAACTACGAAGCCATAAATGTAACACTTCGCCTTGTCAAAAAGACACAAGCAAGAAAAGGTTACACATGCTATTTGTAGATCATCAAAGAATAGAAAAATTACAATAACATGAGCAAAATATGACAGTTTTGATTGCAAATAACGTTCTTGTATTGTTAGTGAAAAGTGTCTGTGATTTATGTTCTTTATTAAGGTCACGCACATTTGGAACGGTTTCATTAGTTTTATTGGATTTTTTCTCAAATCATCAAAGAAAAATTAAAAAGTCCTTTAAAGTAGGTAAGTACATTTTCTCTTAGTTAAATTATTCGCTGCAATTGTGATTTTTATCGAGCACAGAAAAAAATAATTATAAAAAAAAAAAGGATTGGGGTGACTTGGTGAAGTGATCGCGCGACCATTAAGGTTAGTGTGGAGTGGGCGCCTGCTTCCGGGTTAAAACATTTTGAAGGTTTCTCGCTTTAAATATTAAAAATAACACAATTATTCTTCATTGGAATTTTTCATGCGATTTCCTTATTTAATATTAATTCTAAAATCATTTTATATTTTTGTATGCATTGTTGTGCACTTGGTTTTACTCTTCTTACAATTAAGCTATTATATCAAGAATAATGCATTATTTTTTAAAAAATAGTCGCAGAACGGGTACTTCAGCCAGTCTACTTATAAATGTATCAGTACTGCACAATGTATTTTATAACTAATTTATTAATACTAATTTAAGGCGACTTGGTACCCTAAAAATCACAAACCTATCGTTTTTTTTTATTTTCATTTAATCTTATTCTTTGTATTATTATCTTTCGATTGATATATCACTTGTGCATGTCGGAAAGTTAGAAGTTGAATAAAACTTCATTTGAAAACAAATTAGGTAATTCAGCCACACCCCTTTTTAGAAAAAAAAAAGCTAAAAAATGTGTTATGATAAAAAAAAAATAATAGAAATTTTAGAAATAGAAATAATAACTATAAAAAAGAATGTGTAGTATTAAAAGCAGAATATTTCCGAGGCAATACAATAACGTAATTTTTCTTCCTTGTGAAATGTGTGCATGTAAAATTTTTAAATTAAGGCATTTTATATTAATAATTTTATAATTTCAGTTCTTATTCCTGATATATTTTTCATACAAATGTAATACTTTAATATTATAAGAAGAAAAACAGCTAAAATTTCTGTCGTGACAGAAAAAAAAATTTTTTTTGAAGTTTTTCTTGAGTTTTCTTGTGCAATTAGAGTACTCTCTAAAAGTTGATCATTTATAAAAATGTGTGGGTTGAAAGCATATGAAAATGCAATTATTTTAAAGAAAAACGTATAAGTAATATCTTAAAGTGGTAATTTAAGTTTAATTAAGCTTATAATAATTTTTTTTTCCGAATTATAAACTTTAAAGTGGTTTTTCTCAGTTTGTGTTTTTCGAAACCTTAGTGCATTCAAAATGCTACTCCTTCGACAATTATTTACCAATCACTTCAATTTTTTTCCAGCGTGTTAAAAATAAAGCATGTAATAAAATTAGGGATCCGTTTTGTTATAAACTGAATACTTTAAAAAAAAAATAAAATGTAAGACATGTTGGCTTTTTCGTTGATTTTTAGCTTGTATATCAACATTTTATTTTTTTTTCTCGAAAACGAATGAAATTATTCTAAAATCGATCCCTAAAGTTAAGAACACCCATAAGAATATTATAAAAATTTCAGGTCAAAAAATTAATTTTTACAAAAGGAGTAGGATTTTAAAATTTTCCCAATTTTCTTCAAAAATTTAAATTTTTAAAATTGTGTGAATAATATATGAAAATTTTCATCTGGTAACATTTTCTTGAATAGAAACATTGTATAAAATGTTTAAATATAATTTTTAAATACGTAAATAAAGAAGTTTGCTCAAAGGGTGCCAAGTCCCCTTAAGAGCAAGTTTAATTATTATTAGTGACTTCCATGGGCTTGTCTTGCAGAGCAAAGGTTTTCAAATGAAGGCTTAATATTAGAAATTGACACTCTGAGTTCTTTT